CACAACTTTAAATCTTCTTCAATTGTGATTAAACATATACTTTAAGGAGTCAAACAATATTTTCACATCACCTTGCACACTTTTCGTGTTTCTATATCGAACTTATCATTTACACTTCCATACGAATCCTCACTTCATTCACTATATCACATTTACGTAATCAAAATATACAATTATATCCAATACAATTTCATCACAAAATCTTGTTAGTCAACGCTAACTCTTTCATTCTAAAGTACAAATCCTTATCATATCCACACTCTTTCTTATACACAATATTATCCTTTTGTTTCAAATTCGTAACTCTGATTTCATTCATATAATGTTACTTATCCTGTAGACAGTAACATCAATTCTTATCACTCAAAATCAAAAATCAATCAATTGATTTCTTTCCTCATTTTCTAATTAATTCACCACAATCCAAACTTTTACTCATTCTTATCATCTATTGTACTTGTATTTCCTTCAAACATACAAATCTTTATCTTCTTCACCACAACACCTTACTATGATCAAACTATACAACTGTATCCAAATCCTCTTCATATTTGGTTATCATAACCTGTCAATATATTATAATTCCATTACATTTTCATCACATACTCTTGTTAGCCAATGCTAACTCTTTCCATCTAGAATACAAACTCTTTTACAAACAATAACCGCGTCACTTGATCTTTTAACATCCTTATGGTGACACTCGTTCACCATATTCCATCTTATCCACATAATAACAAACTTCTCAATTTAATTTCTCCACTATGGAGAAATGAACATCTTCTAGCATTATCTTCATATCATATATCCAAAGGTCTGTAACAACAGAGCCTTCCTCAAATTCACCCTTGAGATCGGGTGCTCATAACTCTTTTAACTATTTCGATACATTCATTCTATGAGTTAACGAAGTATACAATTAAAAACACATCGGAATATCATTCAACATTATGAATCATTCTCTAATCTTATACAGACATTCCCTGAGGTTTTCGCTCTTCTCCCTGCCTGGCCAGGGCAGGTGAATGCTATTACCTTCAGGTCTATCGTCTTGTATTTCACTTTGGAAACTCTCATATTTTCATGTGCTCATATCATTTCTTCTATCAGATATCACGTGTGCATATGCTCATCCAATTCATATTGTATAACATATGTCAATTGCATATGTTCACATATCATCCATCATATCATATAAACATATATATAAATTTCATAAATCATTCTCAGTATTCACTTATCTTATATAACATAACAATTTAACTCTATTAACAAGACAGCACACTCCTTACCCTATCAGATCAGAAAATTTTTCACTTTGTGTTGGCATGTACACTTTTTAAAACACTTTCGACTTCGTTTTTAGCCTAGAATCGGCTAAACCGTCGCTCTGATACCATTAAATGTAACACCCCCAACCCGTATCCGACCCGGATACGAGTCCGAAGTGTCACATTGACTTTTCAAACATTTATTCGTATAAAATAGTGAGTAATTTAAAAACTTTTATAACATTTAACTTATTCAAAACGTTTACAAATATATATCAGAGTTCATACAATTTATATCTTTAGACTACATGCCAACTACACTCTATATACAATACATATATTTTCTGATCTGACATTTGGTAAGGAGAACTGACCTGTCTTGCCCCGCATTACTCTTTACTCTTCTCGAAACCTACGTGTGAAACAATCACACGCTAAGTCGTTGACTTAGTGAGGCATATAAAACATATAATATTTCATATAACATAAAGCATATATAAACATATACCATCATTATCATTAAGAAACACACATAACATCATATGGTTCATGTAACACATTTCAAACCACTTACCTTTGATAACCATTTATAAACCCATCGTATACATATCACCTTCAGTATGCTTGTTTAATCACTTTATTAGCCCATGTACACTAGTGAGAACTTAAGGTATGTGAGTACATTGAGGTTGTGCACACATATGCTGTCACCACAGCTCGATCAATGTCCCGAAGGACCAGTCCATAGATTCCGAAGAACCTAGGTAATCAGTCCATATGTCCCGAATAACATAGGTAAACAGTCCATATGTCCCGAAGAACATAGGTAAACAATCCATATGTCCCGAAGAACATAGATAAACCCTCGACCCTTGGCATGCCAACTATACCCCTAGCTCTCATATCACATAACATGGGCATTATCATTTATAACAGTTCACATTACTTATTCATATTCTTTCTCTTATAAACACATATCTTTTCTTTTCAGTCACGTATCACATGTACGTGTAATCATTGATCTCATAATCACATGTTCCTTCTATTCTGTCACATACCACATGTATGTGTAAACATATATCTAATATCATATGTTGCATGTAATCACTTAGTCTATTTTCATGTAATTCTTTTCACTTCTCATATGATCTTATATTCATATCTCACATAGCTCATATCACCTTGCATTATTTCATATAAACATAGATGTCATATCTTGTTCGCATATATTTCTATATACTCATATATCTCATAGTTCTTTCACATAACCCACTATCATATTTTCATATCATATATCTTATAATAGATTCTTATATCATCATTTGTTTCCTTTCTACCTATTCATAATCACATAACATATACAAAGCATATCATTATCTTTAGTCATACATACATACAATCAATGTAATACAGATAATCATATATAATTATAACAACACATAATCATGTCCATGACTTCATGCATATTACTCTAGGAAATAGACTCATCGCAAGTCTTATTTCCATTAAACACTACATATCACTAGTATGCACTCACCTTGGTCTCACTAGTCAATTCCAATCTCTTATCTTTCCCTTGATCGATCTTACTTGTCAAATGTTCCGAAATTGCTTTACGCGCAGAATCTACATAAATGTACATTTGGAGGCAATCATTAGATACCTACACCTTGTAATTGGATACTAGCAACTTAAACAAACTTATTAAACCAATATTCATATTTTTCCTTTAGGGGGGTATCGATTCCCTACTGGGGGTATCGATACCCTCATGACATTCTGGAATTCTGTCGTTTGAGAGGGTATCGGTACCCCTTTGAATGGGTACCGATTCCCCCTAACCCAGAAATCATTTTTCAGCACGAAAATTACTTCATTTCCTCTCAAACACTTCATATATCATCCCCTTTTTCATTCTTAACTCTAGTACACATACTTAAACCAATCTATATTCATTTATTTCATATTAAACCTCAAATCCTATCTTCCATATGTAATTCAATAATTACATCAATTTTGCAACATGTTTCAAATCCAATTATATTACTTCATATCTCTTACTTAGATTGATGACAAGTCAAATTCCTTCTCAAAATTCACTTACTAACTCTTTTCCAGAATTTCCTTAAGAAACTCATTTTCTTTAATCTTTCATAACTTCTTTATCTTTTGATTTTAGGACAACTTAAGCTTTCCATAAGCTTAAGTATTACCTAATGATCAAAACCCACTCTTAAAATTAACAAATAATCAGCTAACAAAGAATCTTACCTTTGCAAGCTTGGCTCTTTCTTTCTCTCGTACATGAAGAAAAAGAAGAAGATGAAGAGAATATCTCTTCATCCTTATCCCCTCTAACATATATATCCTTATCATATTTATTTTTAATTCATTTATTAGTTAAATGACCATTTTGTCCTCTACTTCATTTGATAATTACTAACAATTTTTAGGATTTATTTCCAGATAAATCATTGAACTAATCAATTCTTCTACTTTAATCACCAAATTCTGAAACTTTACCATTTAGTCACTAACCCATAGTTTGGGATGTTACACTATATGCAGGGAAAATACCTTCTTTCTTCTTCTTCTTCTTCTTCTTCTTCTTCTTCTTCTTCTTCTTCTTCAATAATGCACCTCGTTTCATATGTTAACGTGTAAACAGATGGTTTTCAGACGCATTTATAAGGCCAAAAAAATAGCACCTTACATGCAAGGAAAATACCTTCTTCTTCTTCTTCTTTCTTCTTTTCTCTTCTCTCTTCTTCTTCTTCTTCTTCTTCTTCTTCTTCTTCTTCTTCTTCTTCTTCCAATAATGCACCTCGTTTCATATACTAACGTGTAAACAGATGGTTTTCAGAAGATATTCTTCTTCTTCTTCTTCTTCTTCCAATAATGCACCTCGTTTCATATGCTAACGTGTAAACAAACATATGCTAACGTGTAAACAGATGGTTTTCAGACGCATTTATAAGGCCAAAAAAATAGCACCCTACATGCAGGGAAAATACATTCTTCTTCTTCTTCTTCTTCTTCTTTTTCTTTTCTTCTTCTTCTTCTTCTTCTTATGCACCTAGTTTCATATGCTAACGTGTAAACAGATGGTTTTCATAAGCTATTCTTCTTCTTATTCTTCTTCTTCCAATAATGCACCTCGTTTCATATGCTAACGTGTAAACAGATGGTTTTAAGAAGCTATTCTTCTTTCTTCTTCTTCTTCTTCTTCTTCTTCCAATAATGCACCTCGTTTCATATGCTAACGTGTAAACAGATGGTTTTCAGAAGCTATTCTTCTTCTTCTTCTTCTTCTTCTTCTTCTTCTTCTTCTTATTATTATTATTATTATTATTATTATTATTATTATGTTCGTGTTAGTTCATTTATTCGGTTAAAGTTAAACGAACGAACATGATATATTTCTGTCCGTGTTCATTCGGTTCGTTAACATGCTTAGGTTAAACTCAATGGGGTAAATAAATAAATCAGTTCCGAACCAAGAAATGTATTGAAGTTATAAAGTATGTTTCTTTAAAATAAAGACTACATTCATTAATAAAAATTTCAGTACTTGTAAAATATCCCATCTTTGACCATTTTCTCCAATATAAATGCCAAAAAGGTAAAAGCTTAAAATCTATTTTTGATATATAAATATTTAATTTCAAAGTTAAAGATATATGCATATCTGATATAAAAAAGGAAAAATAGATCAGAATTCATACCTTTAACAAATTCTGATGCCGTGATTCAGGTCTGGACTGGATCCGATAGTTTCCCCCAATCCTCTCGTCTTTCAGGAAAACAGATTGAGAGATGCCTCAAGCTCTGTCTTTCGGCCTCTCTTTCCTCATCTCCTTCTCTGATCTATAGCGAAACCAAGCTTTAAAAAACTTTAGAAAAATGGAATTGAACTCTTCTTTTGTTTTTGATGCCCTGTATTGTTTAGAAGAGAATTGGGGGGGAGAACCCGGGGAAGACTACTTTGTGGAAGTAGAAGAAGGAAGTTATTACAACAATAAGAGTGGGATTCATAAATCAAACCCTTTTCCAGCCTTGTTTGAACAAGATTTGTCCTGGGAAGATGATGAACTTTCTTCTTTACTTTCAAAAGAAGAGAAAGTTCAACCCTGTGATAGCCTTCAAATCAATGACAATCTGGCTGAGGCTCGCCGTGAAGCTGTGGAGTGGATGTTAAATGTCAATGCTCACTATTCTTTCTCTGCTCTCACTGCTCTTCTTGCCGTCAACTATCTCGACAGATTCTTGTTTAGCTTCCGGTTCCAAAGTGACAAGCCATGGATGACTCAACTGGCTGCAGTAGCTTGTCTTTCTCTAGCGGCCAAAGTGGAGGAAACCCAAGTGCCTCTGCTACTGGACTTACAGGTACATGTGCTACTTTTTTTTATATATTTATTTGTCATTTGATTCGGGTTATTAATCTTGTTTCTTATCGATCTGTTTAGGTGGAGGAGAGCCGGTATGTGTTTGAGCCCAAAACCATCCAAAGAATGGAGATTTTAGTGCTTGCCACCCTTCAATGGAAGATGAACCCTGTTACCCCACTTTCATTTCTTGATTACATTGTAAGGAGGCTTGGATTAAAGGACATTCTCTGTTGGGAATTTCTCAGGAGATGTGACCGCATTCTGCTCTCTGCCATTTCAGGTTAGTTCCAGTACCAAAAACATTTCCTTCATGGATCAAATTGTTAATTAGAATTGAATGAAGCTTATTTTCTGCGTACAATGAATTATATCGTACATCTGTTTTCTCATATTTTCTTCGATTCCTGATAAATCCATCGGCAGATTCTAGGTTTATGTGCTACATTCCTTCGGTAATGGCCACTGCTACAATGCTGCACGTTGTGGATGGCGTAGAACCTAATCTTAGAGCTGAATACCAAAACCAGCTATTAGGCATCCTGGGAATTGATAAGGTTTCTCTTTTATCCCTCATTCTAAGCCAGGTGAAAATTTCGGCCTGCTTCTTAAATCCGGATTCATTTTTTCCCAACAGGATAAGGTAGATGAATGCTGTAAATTGATTACAGAACCGGCAACAAGAGCTCAAGAGAACCAATCAAACAAACGAAGGTCTAGCTCCATTCCAGGAAGCCCAAATGGTGTAATGGATGTCTCATTTAGTCCGGATAGCTCAAACGATTCCTGGGCAGTGACATCATCTGTGTCTTCTTCACCCCAGCATCAATCTAAGAAAAGCAGAATTCAACAAGAACAGCTTCCGGAAAGGCTAAGCCGTGCTCCTTCAAACTTTCTCACTATTCCTCATTAAATTTCATCTTCAATTCCTCCTTTTCTTTTTATTTTTCCTTTTCCTAGACTATAAATAGTCTTTGCAATAACATTGCTGTTCATTTTTTATGATGCAAGTGAAATTGCTTTCCATCTCTGCATTTTCCTGTACCAAAAACTCAACCAAGACTCATCTTCAAGATTATCTCCCGAAGATGAACAGTGTTGAAATTTACAAACAGAGATGATTTGCATTCTAGAAAAAAAAAAGTCCATGGCAATGCAAAGTCCATGGCATTAATGCTTCGGGCCTTCTTGTTGTTTCATGAGAATAATATTAAATTTTTCCTTCAAATAAAATGCTGCATTTACAATATACTACGTCCACATTGTTCTGTTTTTATGTCTTACTTACAAATGATTGAAATACTTAGGGAGTTGTGTATTTATATCAGAATACAGGCGTAATATACATCCGTACGTACATATATCGAAATACCAACTGAATAGAGGATTCAAAGGGCGAAAGTGTACACATAACTTGTATTTTTGTTTGCATGTGAAGGGATGAACATGTTGTCGGCCACTCACGAATTTTGGGTTATATTCTGCGACTATAAGCTTAGGGTTTGACCTCGTTGGAAGAGCTCATCTTCCTTTGAATTCAGTCCTGAACCTGAGTGAGCCATCATTTCTTTCAATGAATTTTACTGTCTTAATTTATCATCTAAACCCCAATCCATTCCATTAAAAAATGTACCAAATAAGCTTCTCGTGTACACATGGAGTACAATAGAGTTGTAGGTACAAAGTGTTAGGTCCTCAAGTACTGTTTAGATTAAGATTATCTTTGTCATTAAGAAACCCCCCCCCCCCTTCAAGAAACTAAAAAGACGGTAACAAGAAGGCTGCTAGCATGTGCTTTCCTTTTAAACTAAAGGGGGAATCATTGGCTTTATTCTGAATTACTTATTATATTACAATATTCACTGCACTCTAAGATATTTTACTAAATTGCGTAATCTGACATGTAGATCTAATAATTGTCTTTATGCGGCTTTAATTTATAATTTAAAGTTGCTTCATTTCCATTTTCCGCACATTTTGACCATATCTGTGGTCTTGGTATCACATTTTCTTTAAATAATATAAAATTATTATGAGAATACAATTGTTTTATATAATTCTGATCCACTTTACCCTTCAAATTAAAGAAAAGTATTATTTGAAACAAATTAGCCGTTACCATATTAGATGAAACTAAGAAATTAGTTTAGTTTAACTATGCTCATCTTTTTTTCTTTGCTTTCCGTTGTAATCAGTATAAAGCGTAAGTAGTACTAATTTGAACCCACGAAAGGGTTAAAGGGTAAGAATAAATCAAAAGGACAAAGGATGGTTTAGTGGACATGAAAAAGGGGGATAAAATGGGTGGTGCATTGCCACTGCCCGTGTACATGTCTTCTTTTATGGACATTGTGGTTTATTGATATCATTTAAACGCCCCAAACCTCAATCTCATGCTTTTGAGTTTTGTCCTATATATCCAGCATTAAACAGAGCTGGGGGCTTTATTCACCGAGGGAAGTTTCCATGTTTAGGTGAAGTGATCATCTCTCCTTTCATCAAAGCCATTGACATGGACTCATCATCACTCGTCTCTGCCATTTTTGCCTGCCTAAAACATTGTAGTTATTTCCAGGCCATGCATAGCAGTGATAGTGGAGACAGACCCACAGGCATTTATTTATTCTATTTTCCTTCTAATAAATAAGAAAAAAGAAGAAAGTCTGGTAATAAATACATAAAAATGGTTGTTCGACTTGGTTGATTCCACCAATATTTATTGCCCAGTGATTTGGTTCCGATAAAAACAGAGCCTCCCCCGAAATAAAAAACAAAAAGACTTCCCATAAGGCTTAGAAATATTGGATTCTGACATTGATGGCCTTCACAACACTGGGAAAGCACATGCAACCGACATCTACTCTTCTTATCAGTCTAGTAAAAAGGGCTTGTCAATTCTAGGCTTGGCTCTCTCTTCATTGCAATTAGTATTTGTCTCTCGCTTTTTTCTTTGCTGTTTCATTGCTAACCCAATAATTCAGCATATAGGTCGATTATATTATAGAACAAACTGTTAAAGTGGACACTAGTAAACAAAAAGGATATTGATGGAGGAGGTCCAGTCTAGTACGTAGGAGCTTGATCTTGGATGAGAATTTGGGGAATGGCCTCGGCCCTCGGGGGATACACATTCCATGAGTGACTGGCTTCATGAATTCTGAATCCAGTGATGGGTTATGTTGGAGGTACGTACAAGGACAGGCAAAATTGTGAAAGAAAGTTGGTAATGCCAAACTTGTTATTCATCAGACTCTGAGCACTCCATTCGAGTCTGTTTGTGTGTTAATTAGGTAGCTATTTATGGCGCGTGATGATGACGAGGGACATATGGTTGAAATTTCTTGCGGATCCATTCACGCTTGGTGATCCATTGTGGGCATCTTTTACATTCGTCATGCTCATGAACCTTTTATCCTTTGGATTTTACTGTTTTAATAAAAAAAAAACATTAATTTAACAAAATGATTTTTCCTATCATGGAGAGGTTTTTTGGGGACAGGAGCTGAATAAATACCTTCTATTACCCCTTATGTATTAAAGAGGGATTTAATAGTTAGCGGAAACATGAATGGGACTTTACCTGCAAAATTCACTCAGTCAGAGACGAAGATGTTAAGGCTCAAACTAGATTATACTTGGCCCTATCCCAGTCCTTTCTAGTCCTTGTAGTTTTTTCTCAGTAGCCCAACCCCAACTTTGAAAGTTTAGAATTCTGCAAACTTTAATTGGGCCTATAGCGTCATTTGACATTTAAAACTACATTGTTACTTGCGTGATAATTTCATAATAAATAAATGCCAATGAGATCATTATTTTTACTGAATTACATCGTTACTTTTTTCTTAATTCTAATATTTGTATCAATTAAAAAATTACGAGATAAATAATAATTTTCTAGGGTTAATATACATTTTATATTGGTATTAATTCTAATTAGTACATGGACTAGAAAGGATTTAGTCAATCCATGATTTTATGTCTTTCATAATGAATTATTGAACTTGAATTTAAGTATTTAGTGGAGACCTCAACTTTCTTAGATCTATTTGTTACTTTGGTTTCTTCCGTAGTACTAGACATTTAAACTTGAAAACTATCAAATACATTAACTTTCTTCTCTAATGCTAGGTAATGAATCCAATTAACATGTTAACGTTCAGTTCAAACTGACATCAATCTTTTAATAAAAAAAGAACGAGTTTGGAACATATGAATAATCGGATGACCATTTTGTAACTTTTAATAGTTGGGAGACTCAACAAAATAATATCCTATAGTCAAAAGAACCATTTTGTAACTTTTAATAGTTTAGGACTCAACAAAATAATTTCATATAGTCAAAGGATGATCTATAACTTTTAATAGTTAAGAGACTTGATAAAGCAACGTCCTATAGCCGGGGACCATTTTTGTACTTTACCCATAAATAAAATGGCATGGAAGTAATAAAACCAAATTCTTAGGAAAAATATACATGAACTTTATTTTAATAATAGTGAGCAATAATTTAAAGATGACGGTTTTCTCTCACGGTCCTATATTCTGTGGAGGATGGCACGGTCACTGGTTTAGTGCTTACTTTTTCCGGTACAGTTATTTGTTGCAGTTGTTTCTCTGGTCCCTCGGCGATTGGTTCTTTTGGTTGCCGTTCTTGGTTTTCTTTCCAGTTTTGTATTTTAGATGTTATGGTATCTGCTATGTGGTCTTCCTGACTTGTAACTATCGCCATAACTAGCTTTGGGTCAGTTTTCTACTTCCCCCGTACTTGTTTTCTTATTTTAGGGGTGATTGGGATTGGTTGAACGAAATGTACAATCTTCCATGGTCTGTTGACGTGTTGTTATATTTTGCATGTGCCATGCTTGAGTTATGGGCGGTTTCAGACACGTTCCTTATCCCTCGACTTGTAACTGCTAGCGTAACTGACCTTAACTATATGGTTACGATGATAGTTTTCAATGTTTCTTCGATTTTCTACTTTGATTTTCTGGTTGGGCTGCCTCTGGAAGTTATGGCCGAGGAAATTGAGAAATTATTTGCTGATTTGCATTTTACAACTGATGAGACGACGAATGTTCTTCTCCCTGGCGATCCCTCTGATCTTCCTCCCAGCGTGATTGCTCACTGGTTGATTGGTAGGGTTCCATTACGAACACCCTAGATGGTGATGCACTCATGCGAGTTTTTCGTGTTATTTGGGGTCCTGTCCGTCTGGTTGAAGTGTCTTCGCTGGGTGATGCTACTTTCTTGTTTAAGTTGTCATCTGATTCTACCGTGGATTTTGTTCTCTCAAGAGCTCCTTGGACTTTCAACGGTGACTTGGTGACACTGTTAAAAGTCAAATAATTTAGGCACCAAATTAGGCATCAAATGGTGCTGTGTCAAAGTAAAAAATTAGGCACCTAATTTTTGTTGAAATTGGGTAATGGGATAATTAATTTTAGTCATTGTAATTTAGGGTATTTATAAGATTAGTCCTTAAGTTTCAACTATAAATACCCTAGCTCATATAGCTTCAAAATCATCCCAAAGCATTCTAGCTTTCTTCCAATACTAGAGAGATTTTAGAGAGTTTATTGAGAGTTGTTTTCTCCTTTTTATCTAGAGAGAATTATCATTGTTTTCTCATTGGTAGATCGAGAGAGGTTGTAATTCTTATTTTCTCATAGTGAAATTCTTCTGTTGCCCGTGGTTTTTACCCTAAATTTTAGAGGTTTTCCACGTAAATTTTGTGTATCTTTTATCTTCATTTTTATTTTCTCAAATTATCAATTGCGATTTTGCTCTATCTGATAGCCGTCTTCCGCAACAATTGGTATCAGAGCTAGATTTGAGTGTGTAATATCTGCTCATTGTCTTTGTGGTTGCCACCAAAAGGTGGATCCTCCAACATAAGAAAATAAGAAAGTATTACCCATTCTTTGAGGTTCTAAAGAACTATTCACGATAGTGAAATAGTGGGAGCTATCAATAATAGAAGCTATGGCAACGAAATTTGATATTGAAAAATTCAATGGGAGAAATTTCTCATTGTGGAAATTGAAGATGAAGGTCATCCTGAGGAAAGACGGTTGTCTAGCAACTATCAGTAAAAGGCCAGTGGATTTCACAGATGACAACAAATAGATCGAAATGGACGGGAATGCTATGGCAAACTTTCATCTAGCAT